CCGACCCGCCGCTGGAGTTTGTCTGGGGCCGTGGGCGGCGGGAGGTCGGAGCCGAGAGGTTTCCCCGAGGGCCGAGCACCCCCTCGCCCCTTGCGGCACCCCTCCTAGCCGCTGCCCGCGCTGGAAGGGGTCTCGCTCCAGCGGTGGCGATGCGAAGGAAGCTGGGAGAGAGGGGGTGATCGCACCAAGTGTTCGGTGGTGGTTGTCTTTTTTTTTCTTTCTTTCTTTTTTTTTTTTTTTCTCCTCATTGTCTCGTTTCTTCTGTTTTGAGCGCAATTGGAACGGTTTCAGGGTTTCGGTTCAGAAATCGGGATGATCAGACTGTAATGGGTTTTGGTGTTGGAGCTGGAAAATGCCACAAGGTTACCAGAAAGAAGAATTCATTTCTCTTAATCTTCTTTTGGATGCGAAACAAACTGATAAATGGCATTTGTCACTTGTTAAAAATGAAGCAGGAGTAAAATGACCCAGTGTCAAGCTTGTAAAGCGTAGAGGAAACCTGAGCAACCTACATCAGAGTGTGTCCTCTTGCCTTCATTCTGGTTTTGGACAAATCTTGGCTGATTTCCTCCTCTTTGCAGAAGACCACTGAAATACCAAAGAATATTCAAGGTCTGGTTTATGTTGGGCTGTTTGTTTTTTTCTTTTTCTGTTTTTTCCTGAAAGCTTGAGGGAAATGTGCTGAGGTATTGGGTTTTTGTTGTTTGTTTTTTTTTTTTTTATTCTTTTCTAAGTTTTGATACACCAACTCGTGACCCATATCCGAGAGCTTTCTCCTCACTTGTGGGAGCTTCCTCCTTCAGACAAAGCATAAAACATGCAGGCGTACGTGCCAAAGCCAACCTACAGGGACATCCTGGTAAAACTGCAGTTTGTAGTTCACATCTAAGCTACAGAATGCCTTATGTTGAATATTTCATTGTGTAGTTTTCCAGGGAAACCAATTCATTATCTGACCCATGAATGGAAAAGGCTGAACATATATGTGTCTTATAAAAGTGAACAAATTAATACTTTCTTTGTCAAGTTGCAACCAAGAGTAAATTTCCAAAATAAAATGAGCAGTCCTTGAAGTTAAACAGTGGGGAATTTCAAAATCATTTGAACATCACTATTAATAGAATAGGAATTCAGTTGAGCAAGAAAGTGGCTTTTTATAAGTTTGCATCTAATTACTACAAGTGTGAATACATTAGCAGTCATGTTTCAAGTGGAAAGTTCTTGGAAGACTAAATGTTTACAAATACTCGTGGAGATGGCTACAGCATTGTGTGCAGGGATAGTACTACAGGGGCAGTCATTCAGGATTGCGTGAACTGCAGTTACAAGTGTCACGTATCACAGGTGAGCAGCAAGTAAAAGCATCTTGTGCCTACAAATTGTTGAGGTCCAAAAAGTGACAGAGGACACAAAGATTTCTATGAACCAGGAGTTTTGTTTCCTACTGTTTTTTGCTACGAGCGTGTGTGCTGGCAGCCTTAAGCAACAGTAGCTAAAATTACAGTATCAAACAGGGCATCTCTAGCTGTTACTGTAAACAGGGAAGCTCTATAGGTAAATGCTATAAAAAAACTTGAGGACTACCACATGGAAAGTAATATGATGAAGTGCCCGGGGGAAGAAGGTTCCACACATAAACCTGCTGCTGATATTATTAGCCCAGTATTTAAAATGGCTAACGGACTTAATGATTTTCATTAGTAATTTTCATGCGTACCTTCTGACTGATACATATTCAGGAATGCCCTTTTCTATTGCTGCAGTACTTGCCCAGTACAGTGAAAACATTGACGTACGTTAATACTAACCTCAGAAATGTTCCTAATAAAGTATAGTGTTGTGTATCGTGCATGCTTTCTAGCAGTTGTGCAGGTTAGTGCAGAAGTTGGCGCCGGTTTTGTTGTCTCCAAAAAGAAGGGTCTTTGAGACCTTTCTGCAGTATCCCCACATGTAGTAAGTACAGGATTGTGCAGTTTATAATTCCACATTTTGTCAAAATATTCAGTCATCGCTTAAGGCTGGTTTCAACAGCATTAGTTCAGCTTCCTGACCATGGGGGTTGTAATCTGTATGGGAGCCTTGTCAGGTTACACCTGATTGACACCTGTAAATGCATACACATCAACATATGACAACTTCTGGCTAAGTTAAAAAAATGCTGGACCTGTGCTGAGGTTTCCTGATGGTGGCCTTCTCCATGTTGTCAGAGAGGTTCAAGAGCTACCCCGAGAACCATGTTTTTGTCTTATTTCCGAGGCATCCAGGGGCAAAAGCCCTCCGCTTTCTCCCTCTCCAAGGGGATCTTGCTGTTCCTTCTCTTTCCATTGCTTGCCCTGAAGCAAAGGGGAAGATGCGTTTCTTAGCTCTACAGCTTTGTCCCTGAAGCAGTGCTGCCGTGCTACGCTGACCTTGCTCCTGTCTGCTTTGAACTGGCTCCAGGCGCTGCTTGGTGTGCGTTGCCGTCACACCAGCCCGGCACCAGGAGCCAAACCACATGCTGCTTGCACCCCCAGAACTTGACTTCAAAAGGCATTTAGTAAGCTCCCATGATGCAGGCTCTGACTCAGGCTGAGATGGCTGTGTTTATGTTGGTTTTAGAACAGTTATTGCACACTTTACACCTTCTAATCTGTATTCTTTGTTATGATTTAAGAGGATTATGAGTAATATAAAGTCTCCACAGCTCACCAGAAGGTAGTCCCTGCTTATGACTGTACAGAGCAGTTAGAGAAGCAGTTGCACAGTTATTAGCTGGCTAATAGATAAGCATCTGATTTGGGGATAGACTCTTGGCTTACCATGAACCACCTAGACAGGGGTTCCTGGTTTTTTTGCTGATGTTGTACGATGCCTTTAACATGTCTAAGCACTTTAAATGTGTCAGGTGCTGTTATTAAGTGTGTTTAGGGAATACGCAAGGTGTTATATCTCACTACTTTGAAGTCAATGGCAAAACTCCCAAACATGAAAGAAGCGTCTGCTCATATTAGTAATCCTGACAGACAGACGTGCACCCAGAGTCTCGGGGTGAAGATCTGCCTAGAAGAAAGTTTCTAACACTGGCGGAAATGCTCCCTACCCCTCGGGTTTGGGAAAGTTATGACACTTGCTTCTATGAGATGTACTAACTTGAGCAAAGTTTTCCTGTGTATTGGGGAGTGTTCCCGCTCACCAGCTGGATGACCTGCACCCCCTTTCTGGGATTGCTACAAAATATGGGCAGTTTGAGAGCTTCCAGTTCTGCTTCCTCTCGAGTCTTCTGGAGGTAGCAAGACTCAATTCCTACTTTCTCATGTTCTTGCTAACCCAGCCACCATCACCCCATCACAGGTGCCCTACTCTGGTGACTGAGGAAGGGGGGGGTGCCCTGCCCTAGGTGTGCTGCTTAGTGCCTGCACTGAGGGCTGCCCTTCTTGGGCTCACAGCGTGGTTTGTGACGAAAGACAGTGAGCCTGTGGCAGAAAACACCGTGCTTTAGGGAGGATATCCAGCTTTCTCTGCTGACTTGATGGGGTGGCTTAGGATTACTGATGTTGGATGGGTGACTGCTTCCCAGTGTCTGGAGCAGAGGTAGTTCTCTCTTGTACTGGAGAAGACTTGAGATTTGTGAATCAACGTGGATGTGCTTGGACCTTGCTCACTGTTTGGGCTAGGCTTTTGCTTTGGTTGGTTTGTTCCCCAGATTAATCCTTCCTAGACTTGGCTCGCTGCTGGGTTGAGCTTGTTGACATGGGTGATGGGTGTAACGCAGCGAAAGAAGAGGAGGGTGCAGAAAAAAGCCACCTGGACTTTGCCAGGCCATATTGCTGCCCATCCAGTCATAATATCTCACACATATGCTTCCCTGGTTCCTCAGCTGAAAGGAGTCAGAACAATTTTTTTTAATCTTTTGGTGCTTTTACGCTGCCTAATTTGGTTTTGTAATGAAAACATTGTCAAGTGTATGTGTTAGAGCCATTTGGAGGCGTGTTAGCTAAGCAGAGAACAGGTCTGGCTACAGGATGGGACTTCACGAGGCTCCTAGAGTATGAAGAGGGTAATGAAACCCAGTATTGGAGGGCATTTTAACTCCTGGCAGTTACAGTACAGAAGGCATAAATGCAAAGATGGGCAAACCTGCATCTGTGGTATGAAAAATAAAATCGCCTTGGGCTCCTCCGCTTCCAAGGAAAGATCTTTACCCCTTAATTGAAAGGGGACACTCTGCTGCTCCAGCACTTTTTGGGGTGGTTGTTACATTTGGTTTGTAGTTACTCAAGGCAGACGGGATTTCTCAAGGTTAGCTGCTATATGCTGAACTCCTGAATGCAATATCAACCCGTTTATGCTAATGAATTTGTTAGGGGCAGATTGGAATGGCCTTTGTAGCCTGCCTGGTTTAGAATGCTATTTCTGATGAGGCAAAACACAAGGAATTGTGCTTTCTCCTCCATCTGGCAAGTATATCGGTGCGAATGTTAGAGGAGGCCCTGCCTGAACTGTGTATCTCCATTTCTGTTTAACTTAAAATATACATAGAAATTTACATATTTTACACTTTGTGATTGTTTTGTTAATTTGTGACTGCAGAATGTGTGCATACAAAACAATTATGAAAATTAGATTTATGGAAAAAATGGGCTCCCTCTAGCGGTTAGTTACAGCGCCGGTTTGGAGTCTCGGAGGAGTCTGTGTCTTCGCAGACCCAGTGCTTACCTAAGCTATGTCTGAAATCTGGAAAGCTTTATACTTAGATATTCTTTAGAGTTTTGTGGTGTTGACATTATTTTTAAGAGAATCTGCCTTTCTGTCCCTGTGATATGGATGACTAAGCTCTCACCACATAATTATCCTTACAAGCTGTGTCTGACAAAACTATTTCAACAGCTTCTTTTGT